GAGAGAGAGGAGCTGAAGGTGCCAGTTCCCCCGGTAGTCTATAGTCTATATAGTCTAAGCCTATAGCAGCATAACTAAGAGCTGGTCTATACCAGCACCAGCCCTAACTATAAGATTTATCAAAAAGGAAAGTTTTAAGTCTATTCTTAAAAATACAGACTGTGTCTGCCCCCGGACCCCGGCTGGAAGACGATTCCAGAGGAGAGGAGCCCGATAACTGAAGGCTTTACCCCCATAGTACACTTAGAGACTGTAGGTACCACTAGTAGGCCTGCATTCTGGGACCGTAATGTTCTCGAGGGACAGTACGGCACTAGTAGCTCCTTAAGATAAGCAGAAAGACTTCCTTAAACAGCTTGGTTGGGATTAGGTCTAAAAGACAGGTTGATGGTTTCGACGCAGAAATAATTGAGTTTAGCTCTGAAAGGTCGATTGGAGAAAAACAGTCTAGACTAATATCTGGTCCTGGAACTGTCTCTGCCGTATCAGACGTATCTGCACCAGGTAAGGGCAGGAGGTTACTAATTTTGTCTCTCATGTCTAGAATTTTGTTGTTGAAAAAGCTCAGGAAATCATTACTGCTGAGGGCTAAAGGAATACAAGGCTCAATGGAGCTATGACTCTCTGTCAGCCTGGCTACAGTGCTGAAAAGGTATCTAGGATTACTTTTGTTTTCCTTGATTAGAGAGGAGTAGTAGGCAGCTCGAGCGTGACGTACAGCCTTCATATATTTTCTATGACTATCCTGCCAGAATAAACGAGATTCTACCGTTTTGGTTGAGCGCCATATTCTTTCAAATTTTCAAAATAGTGTTTCTTTATCTAGGGGGTCTTATTACACTGTTATCAATGTGAAGTTATTCTCCTAATTGAAGCACTCGATTAGAGAGTCTGTAAGAGAGATGGTACTCTGAGTAGTGTATGCAGAGAGTGGACAGTTATACCTACGGGAATGATGTTGGACCTTTACCATTCTGGATGATGGAGGAAAACAATAGCTTGATGTAAAGAGATTATGGCCATTATGAATTTGTAGGCATTGAGCCGCTTTCCTCCATGCATTATTTATAAACCATTCCTGCCTCATTTAAATAGTTTTGCATCACATTATGCATATGCTTACACAGTCACATACATCATTGCCTTCACATGTTTTTGATCAATGAGCATGAAGTTGTGTTTTTACAGTCAGGGCTGCTTGTGTGGCCACCAGAAGAGAGGAGATAATCTTGTCAAGGAGAACGATGTCATGGCAACTGTTTCTCCCAAAACGCTGCTTTGCAAACTAACGCATGTTTCTGTATTCTCCACGGGAGCCTTTTTAAATCCAGGTCAAGAGGTAAAGAAGCGGTCACCGATGCATTGTTCTGTGCCTGGTTGAATGGATGGCATTATGTTGGCTATGAGCCAAGACGTAACATATGCCTGATTCTGAGCCGAAGCAATAATAAGGCATTCATAACCAAGGGGGATATGCATCATACAGTACAGCAGAGTGTGGACTTAGCAGGAAATTAGTGTCAGCTTGATATAGAGCAGCAATGAGGTTTTTCTTTTAATAAATTCATCAGACGCCTGTTAAACAACAACGCCACAAAGCGTGTGAAATAAGGTCCATAGTACATGTCAGTCCAAATGTTTTTGACTTTTTTGGAAGGCACAACCGAGCTGTGATGTAAAGCAAGTAATCCAACAAAAAATGGTCTTTTGTTTGAATGAATTATAAAGTCATTACTGCGGGAACAAAGTGCTGATTGCACTTCTCAGCTAACCTGCCCTGCACAGAAGGGACCCTTCCAAGAAGATAAAATGTCAAACTGTGTTACCATCCTAATCTATTTTTTAAATCTTGCCTGTGGCTGTTTTCACTCATGGTTAGGTCCATTTCACCACAGAGACTTCACTGAAGAAAAAAAAACAGTGCTGCTACGGTTACCGGACACTGGGGATGTTTTTTTTTATGTCTGGTTATGCCGTTTTACAGATTTCATGTTTCTGTGTCGGGACTATCTTTTCAATCCTCGAGTAAACACTACTACACCGTTTCTTCTTTGTAGGTGGAAAGCTGTAGATGTGTAGAGTAAGAGATTAAATGAGCAGCTTGCAGCTAGAAATGCAAATTCAGAAATGTGATGAGACTGCTACATCAGAAGCTCCTCGAAAGAAGCATGCAGAAAAAAATAAGCCAATGGCATTGATGTTTGGACATACTGATGACCTGCACGGCCACATTTCACACTAACATGCATGACACAAGGACGTTTAATCTCACTCTTAACCACCATTAATGCAGCATCAACATTGACTCCCACATTTTTGCTTCTGTCCTTTCATTATCTTCACGGTGAATCACTATAAATTCTAATTATCTTTTTTAATAAGCATTGATGAGAGCGTCAGATTTAACCACACCATGATGACCTTACTGTAATTATGATGTATAGTTCCTTCAGATAAAACTGCAAGCCTCCATTTTCCTCCCCAACATCATAAAACCCACTGCCGCGTCGCATGAAATTGATTACATCTGTAATTCAGCTCGCAGTAGCAAGGCGGGCTGAAACACTCGACCTTTTATCAAACCGCTCTCCAAATGCCCTCTGCAGACCAGGGATCAATATGAACGGAGATACAGCTGTGGAACAAGATCAAGAGGGTGCTGGGAGTATGAGTTTGAATGTGCCTCTTACAGACTGCTCTTCAGAATGATGGACAGCTGGCTGGTTGTAATTGAATTACTCTGATGTAGCAGCATCTGTCTGTTCTTCAATGAATCATTTCGCCTTTCTTGTTCTTATGTACGGAATAAAGAGCTGATATCTAAGGATTGTACTGCTTTAAAGAGGGTCTTTTCCTAATTATATTATTGAGGCAGTAAGGAGTTTCCCCCCTTCTAATGCCAGGGAACCTGCGTTGAAGACCCTGAAAGGTTTGTGCTTTTAGGTGTGGTCTGAACACCTCTGAACAAACATTAGCCATTTACTTCTTTGAGATTTCAAGTAAAGCACGTCAGGATTTAGAGTCCAAGCAGCCTGCTCAGGGACAGGTTATTGGATAGTTGCTTCACAAAAAAAGTGTGGTCTCTAAAGGTAATGTGATGAGTCTTGAGTTTGCAGGCTGTCCTTAAAATGGCCTATTCGATTATACCAGGTGTGAAGCCAGTGAGGAATGAGAAAAGAATGGAGGAAGCCACACTCTTCTTAAAGACATCCAAAAAGACGAGGAAAGGGAAAAGGCCGTGGAAGCAACATTTATCAAAACTATCTCCACCAGAGATCTGTTTACTCTTTGCTGCATAGGTTTAAGAACACACCGATCAGCCATTACATAATGACCACAGACAGGTGAAGTGAATAGCAATGATTATGTGTTTGCAATAGCAGCTGTTAGTGGGTTGGATATATTGGACAGAAAGTGAACATTTTGTCCTCAGAGTTGATGTGTTGGAAGAAAAAGTTGATGTGTTGGAAGAAAATGGTAATGCTAAGGAGCCACTCTGGCATGGGCTGAATTGTCATGTCTAGACAGCTCGGTCAGAGCATGTCCTACTTTGCAGCTCTTGTGGGCCGGTTCCTGTCTGCATTGGTCAGCACCTACCAAAAGTGGTCCAAGTAAAGAAAACTGGTTAACTGGCGACAGGACCAAAGCTCATACATGTGCTAGGGGAGCGATCAAACGGGAGAGCTACTGGAACTCAAACTGCTGAAAAGGTTAATGCTGGTTTTGATCGAAAGGTGTCAGAATACACATTGCATCATAATTTGTTGTGCAATTTGCTTAATAGTCAAAGACCAGTTGGGTTGCCAATGCCAATGACTATCCATCGTCAAAAAGCTGCTAGAATGGGCACCTGAGCATCAGAGCTGGACCAAGGAGTTGGTGAAGTTGGTGGCCTGGAGGAAAACAACAATTAGGTAGATTCTAAATTCCCCAGATCTCAATCCAATCCATCTGCTGCACAGGCAGGTCTCCATCTAGAAATTTACAAGACTTAAAGGATCTGCTGCAAACATCTTGGTGCTAGAGACCACAGCACTCCCTTCAGATGTCTTGTGGAGCCAATGTTTTGTCAGGTCAGGGCAGTTTTTGGCCTTGACCTTACAAGAGGTGCGGCAACACAATATAAGGCAGGTGGTAATAATGTTATTGCTGATTGGTGTATGGTATTTCTTCATTTGCTGAGGTTACAGACATTTAGATTTTCAAACTTTCAAGTATTTTAGCAGTTTGAGAACTACTCATGTTGGCTCAAAAATGGAATTCCTAACTTAAGTAGGGATAAGCCAACGTCTGTTTAAGTATTGAGAAGAAAAGACGAGAAAGCTCGGTTTAAAAACTCACTCATTACTCAGGGATATAAAACTTTTGGTGTCGATGCAGTCAAGAGTATTATTAGACCCACTTTCCGCCTACATGTTGGTCAGGTTCATCACTGAACACGCATGACTCATCTCGATGGGCTCTTTACATAAAGCTTTGACTCTCTGCTCAACCTCCACTGGGTTTAAATAAGCAGACACTGAAGGCAGACAATCTCCAATAAAATACCTACGCCCATGCTTTTGAATATGTCTAGTCTGCTGAATAAATTGTTTCAAGTTTATTTCATATTCTCTCTGCATCTGCATTGCTGTTTTTCCTGCATGTGTTGCTCTGACTTTTACTTCTTTGTTGAAGTGCAGATGCGCCAACACAAAATAACATGCAACCAAAAGAAGCCCTGGTGGTATTACTGGGAAGCTAGTATCAGGGAAATGAGGGATTCACTTCATAAAGTGCATGAGGAGACAGACATACTGTGCAGACAAAATGCATAATAACGTCTATGTTTCCACCTTCCAGGGTTGGTAAAAACCATTTATGGTCCCATGTGTAAGCTGGATATCTCCGAAACTTTGACAGTTCCAAAAGTTTATAGTTCCCCAAGGGATACCATGGATAAATGATTAAGACAGGCAGTGTGAACAACGTTTTTAATCCCACTTCATTTCCATCCCCAGGCCTGACGACGCTGCAGGTTGTTCTGGACATGGCAGCAGAGAGGAAATGGCAGGTGACAGCCATCAATGTGGGGAACTTAAAGGACGAGAGGAAGGACGAGGCCTACCGCTCGCTGTTCCAGGATCTGGAGAACAAGAAGGAGAGGAGGGTGATCCTGGACTGTGAGCAGGACAAAGTTAAAGACATCATGGAGCAGGTAGAGTGTAGAGTTGTCATGTCATGTTTCCCCTCATACATAAAATGTTCAGTGTCCATATGGGGAATTTGGTTAGTGACTTTTGCAGGGTGTAATGAGGCCATTCTAGGTATCAAACAGTTGACTGTCCTAATGGTTCCATTTGTACGGCAATATCTTAAACGCAGACATCACTCCCATGACAAAACAAATCCATAACTTCTTGGATTATCTCAACTCGATGAACGATGAGACCATTACTTTCATAACTTCAGAAATGTGTTGTCGTTGACAATCTGCTATACTGGTGTTCTCCTGAAAGATTTGGACAGTGTTCTTTGCAATGTAATCGCAGGGGGTTAAAGTAGTGTCAAAGTATCTCTAGGTGAGACTTGACAGTAAGTAAAACATTTATGTCTTTCAAAGCTGCCTCTAGACTTTTGACTGGGCGAAGTTAACCTGAATTAAGAATAAGGAAACCTGGATGAGGCTCTGGCTACACATCCCAACAATTGTGCTTTGGGATACTCTTTTGTGTTGTTAAATTAGGACGTTCCATAAAGTATCTTTTGCTAATAAGTGGGATTAAGTGAAATCTGCAGGATGTTCAAGATAAGTAGAGGAGTCATAAAGTCTGTCAAGTGACTCATTAATAACTTAGACAAATCTACCTTAAATCTTCCCATGTTAGCCATCATAAGCTGCTGGTCTGGGGGCTTTAGTGAATTTGAATGCTAATGACTTAAAAGCAGAGTCAGTAGTTTTTGTCCTAAAAACTAAAACAGACTTATGCAGAAGTAATGCTGTTTAAGCAGCACTCATGGGCCTCCAAACATGTGTGGTGGTGACTGTGGCTTCAGAGATTGGATTTGTTTGTGTTGATTTGGTTAACGAGGGACTGAGTAGGCCTCACCAAACTCCTTTCTGAAATGTCCACTAAACTGAACCAAAATTAAGCTCTATTGTACAAAATGAAGCATACTTAAGAACAAAACTCTGAGTATTTGGTCATGAAATGTGATTTTGAACAGCCAAGACAATAGTGGGGGGGGGGGGGTCTCATTATGGTAAGAAAACAAACAGCGGTAAGAGTAAATAACACTTGGAAATGATCAGCAGTATTTTAATCTCTACCAAAATGCAGGGAATGTTAACAACGGCATTATCCCTTAATTGCTCCTGTAGGACAAAAGTGATAATCAGCTGAAATATGAGCTTTTGATACAGCACTTGGAAAAACAACATTGCCTGGTGGACCTGGCCGTCCAGCAGATGTAGAAAAGCACCATAACAATTACACTAATTGTCCTTTTAGGCTGTAAACAAAACCGCAATTAAAGGCAAAACAGATGCACATAAACAGGTTATTTTTATTTCTCCTCTTACCCGCGAGAGAGGCTTATCGATTAGCATTTAAAGCATGCCAACGTCTGCTTAATCGTTGCTGAATGAAATCAATGCCCACAGCCTCGGAGCCTGTTTATCTGGGAAAAACAGATCCCTGTTCAGGTGGAAGTTTCTCGCTTCATGTCAAAGGCATTTACGTAGAAGATCCAATACATTATTATTCAAATCTGCTTCAAGTAGCTGCCCCAACAAACGGAGACGCCAGTCAAGCAGGAGGATTAGTTTCAGGTGTGTCGTTTATTTGAGGCACTGCAACGGTGAAATATTTCCGCAATTTTTCTGCTTTCTGTTACTTTCCTGATAAGAGTAGTGGATATCTCTGTTCAGCAGCGTTTGTGACAATGAACCCCAACGTTTTAAAGGCGATAATGGCCAGAACTGGCTGGCATGTTAGGGCTGATAGTGTCAAATTTTATTGTCTGAATATAATGGTTGAATTATGTATTTTGAATATTACTGTGATTACATTTATGCTCGTCTTATCTTTGGTGGTCGACGTTTTCATTTTGTCGAACAACACAAAAAACTGTAAAAAAGACCTGCATTGGAGCCGTTTGTCATTTTAAAGCAGTTATCTTAGAATTCCTTTGAGAGCTTCATTGTATGCTATTTATATTTGTGTGTCTTTGCAGGTCATCACAATTGGCAGACATGTCAAAGGCTACCACTACATCATAGCCAATCTGGTAAGTTTACACAATAGCTCCATTTATTCCAGTAGATTTCAAAACATTGCACATTTCAAAGATTATGTAAAGATAACATTTTGCTATCTTTAGGGTTTTATTGATGGGGATCTATCCAAAATCCAATATGGCGGTGCCAACGTGTCAGGCTTTCAGATAGTGGATTTTGATGATCCTTTGGTGTCCAAGTTTGACCAGAGATGGGAGGCCCTTGAAGAAAAGGAGTATCCTGGAGCTGACAATAAAATAAGGGTGAGTATATGCATGTATACACAGAGAGAATTTACGCCATTTCTGACAGAATTTGTGATTTACGTTTGGAAGCCATGCAACGGCAATGACACATCACAGTGCGGGTAGTTGCGAACTTGATCTGTTAACTTTTCTTCAAAACATTCCGCCATTGTTGTAACGGCTCTCTGGTGTCTCCGATGTTGTCATTTCCAATCTCATCACCATACAACTCTACACTGCTCCTAGTGGTTATGCTGCATCTCGCATAGCGTTAATTTCTGTGGATGTACATAACCACATAGTTAAAAGCATATAGTATACCCGGGGCTTAAAAGGGCAGCATATGAAGACAATCTAATGCAATCCATTACAACAGCTTGTCATGAATTATACTTTACAAAACTACAGTTTTTGGTTTTTGCTGATTAATCAGAAGATTGTATTACTTAAGTCATAGTGGTGATGGGGAACTGAACTGCATTATATTTAATTGTTCCTAATATTTTGCTCCCTTCATGTATGTTAATAGAGTGGGATACATATCTCTCTTCTCCTGTCTGTGGACTTTTCAAAGGAAACTTTACTGACAATTGCCAATGCTCCATCCCCATTTAACACGTATAGTTTGAGCACTCAGGCTTGACAATCAAACCGTACAGTGGAAGCACATGATTCATGAGCTTTGCTTCTTTGTCCTAAATGAGTCACTTGTACAATGTGAGTTAACTTTCCACCACCACATTCATACCATGGCACAGTGTATGCCCAGCTGTAATGCATGTCACGATACCTGTGTGCAAACGTCTTTTTTTTCTATATTTGTTGTGCAGCATTGTTGGTTGAAAATGTCACTGAAAGCACTTAAATGCTAACCCTAACCCTCCCATTCTCTAATGTGTTTATGCCCTCAAAGTAAATCATGCTGCCTCCATCTTCATTGTGCAACTTTACACTTACATGCACTCATCGTGTGCATTATTAAACGTCTTATGTTCATATGTTGAGATTTGTATGCATTGTTGCACTAACATGCATTTTCCCATAAGCTGAGTATTTTAATTTTGTTTAACCTTGTGTAAGATAATTATTTTCTCGATAAAAAGATGATGTGATGATGATGATGAGGCTTTTTCTTGAGATCAAAGAGTTAACCCAGGACACATAATTGACATTTCCAGTGTAGTTTGCCTTATATCTCCGCAGAGTATATTTAGATAGGTCTTTGGTGGTGGAGCTAAGCATCCCATTCCTTATAGTCCTCCTTAAATTGACTTATTTTATGAAAAATTGTCAAACTATAATAAGTGACAGCGCACAGCCAGCAGCATGGTACATAAAGATAGAAAACAACCTTGGGACAACATCAAATGTTTACTGCACAGGATTTCACTACCCCTGGGTTGGATGAGGGTTTATATAATAGTACGGGTTAAACTCAGGGATTCCTACCTCTTTTGGAGCCCTATTCTGAAAATGTCTTTCTCATTTTTCTGCCCTAGTACACATCAGCGCTGACCTATGACGCGGTGCAGGTGATGACGGAGGCCTTCCGCTATCTGCACAAACAGCGCATCGACTTTACCAGGAGGGCCAACACTGGGGACTGCCTGGCCAACCCTGCCGTTCCCTGGGCTCAGGGAGTGGAGATTGAGAGAGCACTGAAACAGGTAAGACACATTTTGTTGGTGAAGACTTGAATAAAGACTAAAAATGTAGGAAATCACACCCACAAAGGCAGAAAACGCTCCATAGAGATTGATTATAGACTGGTATCCAGGAAGTCTGGATATACATAAGAGTTCAGGAAACCCTGCAAGTTGCCTACGCATCAGAGTGTATTTGGGTTGAAATCAATGATCAGTCCATGTTTGTTAGGCATCTAGGAATGGATACACCCAATGTATTTTGATTGAATTTGGCAGTCAGCAAGAGAAGACGTGGAGAATATTTTTCCAACTGTCTCATCCCATGCTGTGTCTATGCTAAGATCTCCTCTCCAATCTGGACACAGATAGCCTCCTTATGTTTTTCCAATGTGCTGTCGCTCAGCATGAGCACCCATTTGAAGTCATTCATGATGACTTTGTGGAAGAGGAGAAAATAACAGGATATCCATCCTGTGTTCCACTGTGGCTCATGCCTAATAGGTTCAGAGACGTCTCTGAAGCTTAAATGGACGAGCTGGAGAGAATCAGAGAATACCATTCTAAATCTAAGAGGATGGCCTCTGGCAAAAAAAATACATATTTTGCTAAGTGACTACTGCATTTCATAACACTTTGCAAATACAACTACTACCACAAATGTTCAACCATAACTCCTTATATTATACCAACTTTGTTTGCTCTGATACTTTTCAATAACTTTTCAGAGAAAATTGGAGTAGACACTGCCTAAACTGCGCATACATTGGACTTTTTTTTATATCAACTGCATTAGTTTAAAGTACTAGTAATTGTTCTTTTTTTATTTTGGTAACAACCCAAAACTCCAGTGGCTGTAAGGGTCACCAAAGCTTACATACTCATAACCGAAGGACCTCCAATTATAGCGTCAGTTTAAGATCAATGGAAAATTAGTACATGCTGTGAAAGTCACTTTGAAGATGCCATGTTGTGAACAGATTTTCTGTCTCTTAGGTCCGTGTGGAAGGCCTGACAGGAAACATCCAATTTGATCAACATGGCAAGCGAGTCAACTACTCGGTGAATATCATGGAGTTAAAGACTAATGGTCCTGTGAAGGTAAGCATTTTTGTGGTCCCCTACTTTGACATAATGTAACTGTGGAGGGTTTTAATGCAATCCTACATATTATTGTGTTTCCTCCAAACAGATTGGGTACTGGAATGAAGTTGACAAAATGGCTGTCACCAAATCTGATGTCTTTGCAAACGAGTCAACAGGAATGGAAAACAAAACAGTTATTGTCACCACCATCTTGGTAAATACACATGGTTTAATTAGGATAGAGTACTTTTAATTGAGTTTGTTTGTCTTCCATTTCGACAATATGATGAATCAACATTATGAAGGAATTTGGCTTGGTGTGCGTAAACACACACAGTGCTGTTACACCTCCCCCTCATTGACAATGTGCATCTGTTGAAGAACAGAGGGTGGCAGGTGTTCAATCCAATAGTCCTACCCATCAAGATGTGCTACCATGCGGCTCTGTGCAATTCAGGGAGCAGTATTTGCCACGGTATAGCCTCTGATCTAGCTTCATATGCTGTAAGCAGGGGACTGGGGTGAGCTGTAGAAATGGGATGAATGGACACCATTCTCCCTGTTGAAAGTAATTGCACTCTAAGAGCGACTTTGAAACTAATATTAAAGTTGGAAAAGTTACAGATTGTTGCTTTAAGGAGTGGATGGTTTTCTTTTTCTTGTTGTAGCTCATCATGTCTGTAGGATCCTAGTGTTCATTTTGACAGCCGTAATAAAAGAGGGCCACTTATTTCTTAAGAGAATGATGTGATTGTTTAAGACCAATGCCCTTTTGTATTCTTAATGAACTGTCAGGCGGGTGTGAAAGCCTTGTCTTTTGAAGCATTGTAATTCAAACCTCTTGTGCTGAGCAGTGTTGTCTGGTTTTGTCTCTGTCTTTCAGGAAGCTCCGTATGTCATGCTGAAGAAGAATGCCGACCTTTTTGTTGACAATGAGCGCTACGAGGGCTACTGTGTAGATCTGGCTACGGAGATAGCAAAGCACTGTGGCTTCAAATACCAACTGAAAATAGTGGGGGATGGGAAATATGGAGCCAGAGACGCAGAGACCAAGATCTGGAATGGGATGGTTGGAGAGTTAGTTTATGGGGTAAGTAAATCCCTCATTAAGACCATATGACTTATAGTATTCTTTGATGCACCTCTATACAATGCTTTATTTGCAGAACAGATATGTGATGCTTGAGAAGTCAAAAATGACCTTTTAAAACCCTTGCCCTGATTTGTAATTTGGTTTAATAGAAAGCAGACATTGCCGTGGCTCCGCTGACCATCACTTTGGTTCGAGAGGAGGTGATTGATTTCTCCAAACCCTTCATGTCTCTGGGAATCTCCATCATGATTAAGAAGCCTCAGAAATCCAAACCAGGAGTCTTCTCTTTCCTGGACCCACTGGCCTACGAGATCTGGATGTGTATTGTTTTCGCCTACATCGGTGTCAGCGTGGTGCTGTTCCTTGTCAGCCGCTTCAGCCCGTACGAGTGGCACACTGAGGAGTACGAGGATGGGCAGATCCAGACCAATGAGTCGACTAATGAGTTTGGCATATTCAACAGCCTCTGGTTCTCCCTTGGTGCCTTCATGCGTCAAGGCTGTGACATCTCACCGAGGTAGGTTAGAAAAAAAACTCACCACCAATTTACCAGAAGTTTCTGGTGAGTTGCAAGTCATGATTTACTACGTATTCATAAATTGGGGTGTGTTATATCACTTATCACAGAACCTGAGAGAGATTATTTAGCAGCTGAGAATGTATATTTCAAGGCACCAAACTGTTAAGTCATTGAAAAAAGTTGTCATGTGAGACAGTCTATAGGTCAAACACTTAGGTCCAAAGAAGAGTATCAGATCTATCTGATTGACAGATATCAAAGGGCACAAGGATGATTATGCAAGTTATGCTGTATTTCCAATATGGCCACCAACATGGCTGGGCTTTCAAACGCCTGTTTAGAAAAAAATGGGTGAGTCTATAAGCGTATGTCCATGTCCTGACAAATTTTGACACGTGTTTTATAACAGCATTTGATTAAAGAACATTGCAATGTGCATTGGACAATTGACTGTTTGCAGTGTCTGCTTATGACACATGCAAAATGTACCATTTGTTGCAGTTTAATATTTGTCTGTAAATCAAGTCAAGAAACAATTTTAAGCCCAAAATCAGAAATCCTTATTTGCCTCAGAGTGCTTCAAAGTTTTTTAGTAAACAAATCCTTCTCCTCTTGCGTCCTGGATGCAGATTGTTCTCAATGTTTAAGATTTTGGACAATACTCAAGCAACATACCAATCCGACAAACACATTTTTGAGCAAACTGAAGAAGTGTTCATTGAAATATACGACAGCTATGATTCTAATCAAGGTGATTTGTTATTGAATAAGAACAATGAGTGCTTAATTTATTGGGAACATCATGTTAACCTTAAAAAAAACAGTTTGTGAAATCAGAGTAGTAATCTGGTGACCTAAAGAAACAGTCTGAAGTGATTCATGTTGTAATGCCTCACTTGCTTCACAAAAAGTGTTAGCATGCTCTGCCCACTCATCTTGTACAGTTGCCGAATCTTTTGCTATGTAGGTGTTAACACTGTGTGAAGTACTGCTGAATGAAAGAAAGCTGATGTTCTAATATGTGTTCTTCCTATAGATCTCTGTCTGGGCGCATCGTTGGCGGTGTCTGGTGGTTCTTCACTTTAATCATCATTTCGTCCTACACTGCAAACCTGGCTGCTTTCCTGACTGTCGAGAGGATGGTCTCTCCCATTGAAAGCGCAGAGGACCTGGCCAAACAGACAGAGATTGCCTATGGGACACTGGACGCTGGCTCCACTAAAGAGTTTTTTAGAGTAAGAGATGCTCTTTTTCTTTACTCTGCCTTTGGGAACCAAGGCTTGGAGTTTTAACCTTTTGTAGCTGGAACTCAACACCGCACTGTCTCAGTGAATGTATGGCCATCTGCAGAAAGTAAAACATGGCACAGGAAATGTTATCTTCCTAGCAGGAATGTGTTGAATTCCCAGTAGGTTGAGTGGGTTTTGTCTCAGAATATGGACTGAAAATTTTATTGTGGAGGCAAGAATAGAAAACAGTCTTAAAGTGACAAACCATGCACAACCTGCGAGGAACATACTGTTTATCATTAGGGCCTGACCGATATGGAATGTTTTGGGACCGATGCTGATATTGCGGAGAGAAAAAAATCGATACCGATAAATTGGCCGATAACTTCCTTAGATCAAAGTTTGATCTATAGAGATAGATTTAGATATAGAAAATTATTGTGTTGATCCCTCAAATTCAGTTATCAAACACTTGTGGAAAAGATTTATAATGAAGACAAGACAGGTCACTCAACTGGAAAGTAACTGCAGATGCACGAGCATCATCGCTCGACACTCTGGAGATTGATTAAGCTCGTTGTAATCCATATAGCGCCCTCTGCTGGTGAAAGAGAACTGCTAGTGTAAAACAATGAAACTCAAATGAAACTCTATTTGACTGGTGAATAAATCTAGTAATATCAGCGCATATCTGCAATGAAATTAATCGATACTGATAGTCACTGGATATGATATTATCGGCCAATTCATCGGTTGGGCTCTAATTATTATAATCACATGATAATTTACCTGAAACTCATCAATGTTTTGGAGCAAATTGGAGATAGATTGATGAAATGACTGTACTGTGTTCTGCCTATTAAGCATTATTAAAGAGTGTTATTGGACAAACTCTAACATTTATAGAAAAAACCCCTCAATCAGTCTTTAGTGAAACTTTAATATTTGGCTCTGAGAAGTGAAAACATCATGTGATCCTTAAAAAAAATGGTTTACATCAGAGGAATGACTTTGAATTCTCACTTCCTGTTCATATTGAAAACTGTTGCTTCTCCCATTTTCTTTTCCAAACAGCGCTCAAAGATCGCCCTCTTCGACAAAATGTGGACGTACATGCGCAGTGCCGAGCCCTCTGTGTTTGTGAAAACCACAGGCGAGGGGGTCTCGAGGGTCCGCAAGTCCAAGGGCAAGTACGCCTACCTGCTCGAGTCCACAATGAACGAGTACATCGAGCAGCGAAAGCCCTGCGACACCATGAAGGTGGGAGGCAACCTGGACTCCAAAGGCTACGGAATCGCCACGCCGAAAGGATCCTCATTAAGGTGGGTGGAATAGTATAACAATGTGTCCAATGTTGTTATAGTATCCCACCTACCCTGATGTAGCTTTGCTTATTTGTCTCTGGTTTGTATAAGGAGATGAGGTAAAGCCCATTCCCCTTCAAATTCTTTAAAAACCATTGCAATTTATTGT